ATATATTCCTGTTCAGGCCGCAATGCCACCGCCGCCACCTCCTTCTGTAATCCATGGACCACCTTCGCGGCCTGCTAGCCAGGCGTCTCATCAAAGCAACAGTTCATATGATCAGAGGGCCCAAGGACATTCTCATCATCCACCATCTCAGCCATACCAACAACAACCTATAAATCAGAATACATTTCCTTCACCACCTTCGTATACTCCGCAACACCCATCCGGCCCACCACCTCCGAATCCCATGCCCCCAAATCAGAATCGTTCCGTGAAGAATCCGAACCCTCCGCCCAGCGGTCATCCACCCGGTCGGAATGTTGGACCAACTATTCGGCCAACAGCTTCTATAAACGGCGTGCCCAATCTGCCTTTAGCAAACCACCACGCAGGCAATGTCCCTCCATCTAATCCGACTCAATTGGTTCACAATACCCCGTGGAACCAACAATCGACTGGTGGTCCTGGAGAGCTGGTACCAAATGGCCCTGCTCGACCGGGGGAGAACAACAGGAGTGGAGGTGGTGCCCCTAGTTCAGCGGGTGGTAGCTCGCTACCTGGACGAGGGATGGCTAGAAATCCATGGGGAAACTACTCGTATGGTCCTGGTGTCGGAATCGGGGGAATGCAAACGGTAAACGCGGCCGGACCTAATACAACTATTCCACGTGCACCCGACGGCCTCAATATACGAATTCTACCACCTATCACACTAGATAATCATAGCACAGGCAGCAGTAATGGAAGTAGCAGTAGTGCGAGGAAAAGAAACGCCATGGGAGGGAACACCAAAACGCTTGGTGATGAGACTTCATCAGTAACTGTATGTGAATCTTTCGAATATCTTTTGTCGCGACTAATGGTTTGGATAGTCATCTAGCTCCTCATCCTCCAAACGGACATTCACCTCCAATGCGTCCTCACAGCCGCCGCAACACCACCCATTACCCGAGAGACCGGATTGGGTACTGGGTGCTCGCCCTGGACCTGGAGGCACAATGCAAAGCCGTAATAAAGCTGTCCCACCAAGCGTGGGTGTAGCCCGGCCTTCGCCCTCGCCTTCCACCGCTCCTTCGAGTCAACTAGATACGACGTCGAGCGTAAGCTCTGTCGCAGGTAGTGACTCGAAAGAGTTTCCACCACTAGGGTCAGGGAGCGATGGGCGAGGCGGAACGAGTCCCGGAGGACCTGGACAGGTCTCGCGTTCGAAAGCTGCGACGTCGCCTACCAATGCTTGGAACAACGCCTTGACATCCAGCCCGGCGAGGAGTGCGGCGACGGTCAGTGGTCCTGCGTCGCTCCCTCCTCGCCCTGCTGTGGGTTCGACTGGCAGGCCAGACGGGATTCCGAGGCTGGACGACGTGGACACTGGGTTTGAACGTCCACCGCCAAAATCTGGTGCGGCGTTGTTCAACCCGCATGTTCCGACTCGGTCTAAATCGGGGGATCAACAACAAACCACAGGCGTCAAGGCGTCGAGTGCAGTGGACCCTCTTTCGCAAAAGCTTGGTGCCGTTACACTTCTGGACAATGGGCAAGGCCCCCCACGAAGTGCCGGAAAGATGGACGGTGGAGTGATAGATGCGTCGAAAGAGACATCAGGTACGACTGAATGACGATGGTTACACATTGCGATCGTCAATCTAGAGATTACACAGTAGGTAATATTAGTTTTTGCATCCTCCTTTACATCGATCGGTTGTTCTTTCGTTTCTCTCTATATACAGACTTTGGCATCATCTTGTCCCTACGACGTTCAAGGGTAGAGTGATGGCGTCGTCTCTTCAGCTTTCACAGGCTCAGCTTGAGGATGTCTTAGTATTTGAAGCGGAACATCTTACGAACAAATCGACTAACAAATGCCGCCTTTACAGCGGTGGGTTAAGGATTCAGTGGACATAGAAATTGTACACATTCATTCTACTTTGAAGTAGATCCAATCTTGTTTGAAGATCTATAAGGGGATCAGAGCAGGTCCAAAAAGAATAAAAAGGTCCTACCCGGACTCGAACCGGGGTTAACGGAATGTGAAGACATCAGAATCCGTTGTGATAACCACTACACTATAGAACCAGTAATCATACCAGCACAAAATTTCCTTTTTGTGTCGTTTAGTTCAGACCAAGGCTCATTCAACCTCAAAGGGCATGCGGCTGACCCTTGAGTACCTGCTGTATACAGAAGAGAGCCCTCTTTCCGAATGTTGGACTCTAACAGATGACAAGTCGCAACTCTAGACCCTGATCACGCAACTTCCACGAGCATTGGTGACCATTCTGAGCCGCGACTGAGAGAGAAGATGTGTGCTCTTTGGCAATTCATCGATAAAAAAAAGTAAAAAATGGATGGTTTTGTCACCAAGCACACAGACAGTCGATTTAGTAATCAGAAAAGCTCCTCTGTATTTTCTTTTTGCTTGATAATCTCAGTCTTAATTTGATTGCATTTGCGGAATTGCGGCTCTTTATTATCCCGTGGGCATCCCCGCCAAGCAAGCGATTCGCGCTCGCAAGTTGGCCATCGACGACGACGAGCGGTTTAGTGAAGAAAACAAAAAAAGCACCATGGCATCCCGTGCTACGAGGATCAAAATTCTCCTCGTGATCGATGTTATTTTCTTTTTAATAGAGCTCATCGTCGGTCAGTCGCGGGAACGGTTCGCTGCGGCGGCATGGAATTGCTGAAAGATCATGACGAAACAGGTTATACTGTGGGCTCCCTTGCACTCATTGCAGATAGCTTTCATATGCTAAAGTGAGTGCTTTCGAGTCGTTGAGGACAGCGTGCAACCAGCTAAACTCGTAATCATCAGCGATGTCATGAGCCTCGTCGTTGCCCTTTATGCCATCAAGGTCTGGAGAGATATTTAGGCCTGTTGACATACGCTAATACTCATTTCTTTATTCAGCTTGCCAGTAGAAGTGCCAGTTCGAGGTGCGCAATACTCGCTTGTGGCTTGACACACTCGCCCATACGATGAGTTTTTATAGCCTCAGCTACGGCTGGCATCGTGCAGAAATTCTCGCCGCTCTCATCAATGGTGTATTTTTACTGGCCCTTTGCTTCTCAATCTTTATGGAGGCCATTGAACGATTCTTCGAAGTCCCAGGTTTGGCTCTTTCCGCCGGAGGAGGAACTACAAAGGCTCACAAGGATAATTTTCAGAGATATCCAATCCAAAACTGGTCGTGATTGTGGGATGCTTTGGCCTCGCTAGCAATCTTCTCGGATTGTTCTTATTTCATGGTATGCGCCTTTGTGGTATTCAGCGCTCCAGAATTTGAATTTTATTTTGCAGAGCATGGTCATAGTCACGATCATGATCACGGTCACGAGCATGCACACGAGAATGGACATGCGTCGACGTCCAAACCAACCACAGGTCTTGCGATCACAAATTCTGACGGAGAACGACAGCCGCTACTCATAGACAGCTCAACTACACCTACAGGCTCCCCTATTAACGCTTCGATGTCCCCATTAGGTCGTCCTCGATCAGATTCGACGGATTCCATTTCTTTGTTTGGACATCCCATTCAGAATCGAGCTTATGTGATTGCAAAGGCTCAGGACATTGCTACCAGTGTACAAGCCACATCACCGCCACCACCATCCCCTATTTTACGTAGACGCGGAACCTCCACCTCCCGACTCGACTTCCCACCAACCGAGGAAGCAATTTCTCTCTCGGAGGAGGAAGAGGACGCGCAGGCTACGCCAGTTGCCACTCGCCACCACCATTCTTCGATACCTCGTCGCCACTCCCACACCCGTACGCTCGCTGTGAACACCGACGTTGAAGCTGCGAAACCAACCGGTCATTCTCACCACCACGGGAGCATGAACATGCGTGCTCTGGTTCTACATGTGCTCGGAGATGCGCTTGGAAATGTCGGCGTGATTGCCAGTGGTCTCATCATTTGGTTGACAGCATGGAAGTATCGATACTATAGTGATCCGGTAATCTCGTTGCTGATCACCGTGATCATTTTCTCTTCCGCACTTCCACTTGTCAAGTCTGCATCGTTTATTCTTCTACAAGGTCCGTGTGCGCTTACTGTTCTTCGAAGGACGTTGCCTAACCCTTGGCTTTAGGTGTTCCAGAGAATGTCAACATCGCTGATCTGCGTGCCGATATTGCCAATGTGGCCGGCGTGAGATCGATCCACGAGCTCCATGTCTGGCAACTATCCGAGACCCGAACGATCGCTTCGGTTCACATTCGCTTGGACCAAAAAGCAGATTACATGAAGGCCGTACACGATATCAGGAGGATCCTTCATCGTTGTAACATCCACAACGCCACTATTCAGCCTGAATTTGGAGATATGCCCCTAGGGGAAGGGCATAGACGAGCAGGGAGTTGCATGGTCGCTTGTCCACCTGGAACGTGTGACGCCGACCAAATCTGTTGCCGTGAGTAGCTTCTGCGGTCGTTATGGCGGCCTCGTGCTCATTTTATCTTTCAAAGCCCCAGGAGACGTTCACTCCCCTGTGAATTGATCTTTTTTGAAAGGATATTCGGAAATATATCCTAATACTCTACGTTCCACAATATGTCTTATGCTGTTTTTCTTATTAATCTCGAGTGTACCCGAGTCTTTTTTTTTGTTTGCAATTTCACCCCTGTTGCTCGATGTTGGCCTCCTCCTCTACCCCGCATTATGAACATCGGTTTACGTTGTACGGCCATACACAAGCAGTGACCTCGCTCAAGTTTAGTCCGAACGGATTACTCCTAGCTTCTGCTTGTTCGTCAGTTTTTGTCCGAACTGTTCGAGTGGGACGTGGATAACTGACCAACCTACAATACAGCTTCCGATACCACCATTATCATTTGGAATACGTTGAGTGGTACACATTACAAGACATTGCAAGGCCATACAGAAGGCGTAAACGACATTGCTTGGTCTGACGACAGTGCATATGTTGCCTCGGGATCCGATGATTATTCGGTGCGCGTCTGGAATGTGGAACGGGTAAGTGAGCGAGACTTTTACTTAATAGGATGTATCTTTTGGTTTGGGACTAACCTGGCTGGCTAGGGCGTTCAAGCGAAGAGCTTTGCGGGGCACAACAATCATGTGTTTTGCGTAAACTACAATCCTCAATCCAATCTATTGGCTTCTGGAAGTTTTGACGAGACGGTGAAAATTTGGGATGTTCTCAGAGGTCCGTACTCCTCCTCTCTCCCTTGCGCAAAAAATCGTACGTCGCCTCATCATGTCTCTTTAGGCACCATGCTCCGATCGATTTCTGCGCATTCAGATCCAGTGACGTCGGTTAGTTTCAGCCATGATGGGACGATCCTCGTCACCTCGTCCTTTGACGGACTTGCGTACGTTTTTGTTGTTCGTTCCGATTCAAATAGGCTCTCCGTCTCATCTTATTCAATGCAGGAGAATATGGGATACGACCTCTGGACAATGTCTCAAGACGATTGTAGAACCTCAATCCCATCATCCATGTGCGAGCGTCATCTTCACCCCAAACGCGCAGTATATTCTCTGTTCGACGCTGGATTCCACGCTTCGACTTTGGGATTATCGGACATCCCGTTGTGTCAAGACATTCAAGGGGCATAAGAACGATTTATGGGCTATCGGCGCATGTTTTGCGACCACCAATCAAGCGGGGAATTGGGTCGTTAGTGGCTCCGAGGACCATAAGGTGTACCTTTGGAACCTACAAACGAGAGAGGTAGTTCAGGTATTAGAAGGGCATACTGGTAAGACAATCATCCAGATTTACAGATCCCCCCTGAATGTTGACCATGTCTTAGATGTTGTACTGGCAGTCGCGGTACGACGGCTCTTATGGCTACATATCCACGAAAGCACTAACCATTCGATTGATTTGGTCATATAGACACACCCAACACGGAATATCATCGCATCTGGAGCCATCCATTCCGACTTGGGCATACGACTTTGGTTTGACGAGCCGAACTCGGATGTCAACGGGGTAAGATGAATCCCAACGATTCTATGCCTGGGTGCCGCTTCTATGATTTTCATCATGCAACTTGCGCATGAGATATTATCTTTACCAATTCTGCATCCTGGTTCTTAGAGACTGCGATGCGGATGTATCTAGCCAGGGGACGTACGTTGTAAATTTAGACTTTCCCTCACAACTGTCGCTTGAATGGTGTTGTCGGGATTCGCTGGGATTGCAACTGTCCCAGTGTTCTCGTCCAGTGTCCATCCCACCTTCGCGATATACGTCTCCAATGAATCCCCTTTTTTTCCAGTTCAGTCAAGACCATAAGAGTCAAACTCATGAGCAAAGCAATTGTGAGATTCGCTTACCTGATAAATCAAGGTAGCTACCCAACCGTGCCACCCCAATCTTGGTGAAGGTCGACTTGACGGCTTTGACGACGACGTCTCGAATGGCGTCTTCGAATCCGACAATCTCTACTGTAAAGTTATCACGAAGGTAGGCGAGTGAATCGTCCCGGTAGAGTAGCCAAAACGCCGGGAACCGACACTCGTGAAGCAACTTGGAGAGCGAGGAAAGGATGGGGATCAAAGTCGCTGGATCGTTTTCGACGTCTGCATCTTCTCCGGCGTTCACATTCGGGATTCGTTCGCTCAAGAGAGCCAAGCACAGATTGAAATCGGGCGAAGGCGTGGCGGTTAAGGCCTTTAGGAGGATATTGACAACGACGTCTGCATTGTATAATTCAGAGTTGAATTGATATCTGTAAATCGAAAGATGTAAGATGAGTAAGGTCACAGGGCGATTCCTTTTGGAAGTAAAAGGGAGGACGCGATCAGAAAAGAAAATTCACAATTTAAGGATGGCCAGATTTGCAAGGCAGTCGTATTCGTTTGTTCTTGTCTGATGATATAGATAATCTTCTAGGATGCCCACATTCGATGGATTATAACGGTCTTTGCACGCCACTCCTCAGTTTTGAGTTCGATGGGTGCCACCAAACAGAGACATACCAACGCCGCTGATGAGAGTGTCGATAATCTCTGGCCTTTCAGATGGTTGTAGCCACTGCCGGGTGGCAGATGCTGTCGAGGCAGTCATGGTAGAGAACCAAAGATCGCGAGGTGTGC